ATATATATATATCATCCTACTGACTTTTAGACACTTATACTTCAAGGCTTTACTTCAAAAATCCAACATTTAGTTATATCTTATGTAATATATATTTCTTTATAAATATTAAGCAAGACACTGCAGATAGTTTCTTTGCATTAAACACGACTTTAACTAAAATGAATAGGATAATAAGAATCTACAGTTACTTACCTAGGCTCATTTTCTTCTTTGACAAAAAGTACAAGGAAGCTCCAAAACTTGTAGCTAATAGTAGCCCAGAAACATCAGCTCCAATGTATTGACCTGCAGAAGTTGGGGAAGCGCCACTAACGAATGTAGAAACCATCAAGGCTCCATAAACACCTGCCTGTATGCCCAAATTGTTGGCAGATGGAGATTCAACAGAAACAGGAATGTTCTTGACCATCTTCTGCAGCCACTCTGGCATTGCACCTGTTACTGTACTTCTTATAGGTTTAACATCGGCATATCTAATACTACTGTTTGCAACTTTGCCAGCTCTCCGTTGTGACAACCTCTGCATGAGCAACATGTCATATGCAGCCTCCACCTAAAACATAGTAACTAGCATGGCTTTAGGAGATAACTATTAACATAATGAAGAAAGAGCAACATCATTTTTAGAGTGCTTTACCTAAGAAATAATAGCAACTTAGTCTAAGCAACATATGTTCAGTTCAATAGACCAGGGTAGATATAATCAGAAACTAACTTGTATCATACTATCAGCTTGTTACCATCTGAACCAGCTCATGCTAGTAAGAATGGGAATGCCAGAAGTTTGCTATGAAACATTAGAGTGCTTTAAAATTGTTCCAGGATTCAACTTTAAAGAAAAATACTCTAAGGCACTCTGTGGTATTGGTAAACGTACAGACGAAGGGGGAAAGCGAGAGAGAGAGAGAGAGAGAGAGAGAGAGAGAGCAGTGTACAATAGCAAAGCTTGGGGTTTCCTGCATTATGGCAGTAATTTCAATAAAAGAAAAAAAATCTCATTTAAATGTAACCTAACTCACTAAAGCTTATCAAAGAAAACCTTCCTTTTTGTTGACTACAATTATGCAGGAAACTGGCCTTGAGAAATTTCAACAAGTTTAGCTATGCATGGATCGTTTGCCTTTGCATAATTCTTGCATTTCCTTGTGTTAAGATCATAATCCTTATAGTCACCATAAACAGACACAGGATACGAAAACAACATGATCCAAACTCACGGTATGTCAATGTAAACAAGTGAAAACTAAAGATACACTACGATAGGTATATGATAACAGAAAATTATTACATATATATGACATAGATGATGCTTCTTATCTATAAACATGTCTATGTCACTTGAATTTATCTAACAAAATTGACTTAACAACAAAAGCATTGGTAAGCTTTATTCCTTCCCTTCCTACAAGCATCCCAAAAACATCCACTGGACCAACGAACAAAAAGAAAGATAACTCAGTTTCATCTCCAATGGAAGTCTCTTTTTTAAAACCTAAAAGGCATCATCTGGAGATACCAACTCACAAGATTAACATTGGGCCACATATTTCATCACTCAAATGACTGATATAAGCACTATCATATCAGCAAATCAAGGGAAAGTTTCTATCATTTGCAAATGATAAGAGGAAAATAGAACATTTTCATTGTGTCATACCTGAGATACCCCTTTTAAACTCTACAAACCACAAAGAACTCATAAATGGCAAATTAGATCAAACCCTGAGGCAATAAGAAAACTAGAATTGCAGAGGATTACCTAAACTACATGTATCATCATTTGAGTTATGCATTTTGACCATTACCTAAACTATATCTTTTACAGGTTTCACTCTATATAACATACCAATTATCAGCTAATTGAAGTTACTTGCTTTTCCCAACTGATAGATAAAGATCGAATATTTCCATTGACCATTACCTAAATTATGCAATTAAAACCCTACAAAGAACCCATACATGGCGAAATAGATCGTACCCACGTTCCAATAGATACCCTAGAAGCTAATAGGCAAACTAGAAATGTAGGCAATTATCCAAAATTGCCACTTACTACCGATCAGGAAACCAACGTAAACGATTTATGGAACCCAAAATTATACTTAATGAAAGCAAACTGCTTTAATATTACCCTCTTTCTTGAACAATAACCCTTTCTCATCGCGTTATGCTCTGCATTCGCCGGGATCACTTTCATTCGATGGCCAGCAATCACAACAAAATCCCACCAGTGAGGCACTAAAATACGACCCATGCTAAAAGATATCAAAGATTCCGAAGGAAAGAGGAAGGAACCTGGGCAGCGGATTCCACGTCGTCCTTGCAAGAGGCGAGGACGGCGTTCTTGGCCCGAAGGATGTCGTCAAAGGAGGCGCTTTCCGACAAGCCGAGGAGCTTGAGAGCGTTCTCCACCGTCATCTCGTACGGGGCCGAGGAGTCGTCGGCCCTCGACCCCGCTGCTGGCGGCCGGCCAGCCGGGCCGATCCGGCGGTGGAAGATCCCCGGTCCCCACCACCGTCTTCGCCGCCACTGCTGCGCGACGCCGCGGGCGGCAACGGGGAAGGTCGCGGCCGTCTTCGGCAATGGGTGGACGCAGAGCACCGGACCCGAGAGAGAGAGAGGGGCCGCCATTCGTTTTTGTCTTCTCGCTCTCGCTTCTCATGGTCCTACTTTTTATTATTCTTTATGGAGCGATATATAGTTTTTGTTGTTTGTTTATTGGAGAGCGACATGTAATTACGTTCGGTACCATCGTGTTTTTAATTTTTCCTGCTTTTAGAAAAAGAAAACACTTTATAGAACGATTTACAATTAACGTCAGGTAGATTTGTTTTTGTTTTTTGTTTTTTACAGAGCGATATGTAATCACGTTCGGCACTATCATGTTTTTATTTTTCTTGCTTTTAGAAATAGAAAAACACGACTAATGTTTCCATTTTGTTTGTTTTTGTCTCCACTTGGTTTTGATGATCCATGAGTTTGAAGCATGGGTGCTACAGTATTCAAAATTTCTATGTAAGGAAAAAAAATTAGAATGTCCATTGTAATCAAATCTCCAATTTAAGCATAATTTTTTTAATAAATTTTAAAAATAATTATTTAACATCTCGAGTAGGGATATTATTTTTATCAGTAAATTAAATGAAAATAAAAATTAAATATATATACAAATAAAAAATCGTACTCTCACCTTCATAATTCTCCTTTTCCAAGTCTAGTAGTGAGATGAGTGAATAAGGAGAGGTAGGTTCTTTGTCCTTCTCGAAAAATATTTTTTATATTTTTTGATGTATTTCAAATTTTGTTTTTAGATTAAAAATATTATGATTATTCGTATTATATGTCATTTCTAAAATTTTCTTCTATTCCTTTATATATCTAAATTTTTATTTTTATATTAAAAACATGTTTTAATTATTGATGTTATACGAAGTTTCTAAATTTTCTTTTATCTTTTTAAAGATTTAAAATTTTATTTTAGGATTAAAATATATTATAATTATTCATGTCAATTGTAGTTTCTAAAAATTTTATCTTAGATGCATAATAGTTGATTAAAAATATTATTCTCTCTCTTATGTAATTTTTTTAATCGATTACTATTTATTATTTTTTAGTGACTCAGAATAAATATTTTGATTATAATTTCATAATGTTCGTATTTTAAAATTTAAGAATTTAATAAGTTGACCCAATCTAGTTTAGCTCATTATCATTTTTTGTTTGATTTAGGCTCAAATGTTAATTGAATTAAATCAGATTTAATTAGTTTAGATTAACTCAGAATGATTCCGAATCGATCTGTCTTATTATAAATCTATCTAACCTAAATTAAATTTAATCTAATCTAAATTATATTAGTCTACGATGATTCTAAACCAATTAAATGAGCATCAGAGACCGATTCAGTTATATTTTAATTAAATTAAGTTTAATTAATTCAAAATTAACTAATATTATTTGATATCAATAATATTTGAAAAATAAATTAAGATGTTTTAATATATTATTACATCTCAGACATAGATTAATATGAGATGATTTTGTTTCTAGATAAATAAGACGATTTACTTCGAGGATTAATGGGTCATCAAATAGATCGACGGGACGATTGCTCCGTTATAGCCGCTGATAAGAGGAACATGTCCTATTTTAGCCAGTAAAAGATACCTTTTCATATGTTGTTAAGAGTTTGATATAGATTTATCTTCATCTATTATAGGGTGAGGCATAAACTCATAAGATAAGTTTCACTATCTATTAATGTGGGTGTGGGAATGCTTATTCGAGAATACATTAGTAGAATAATTAACTTTGGGACATATATTTGTTTTGCAATTGACTTACAAGGGTTCTTACTCAATATTACTGAAATTTTTTTTATTTTTTTTATTTTTAGAACAACCTCCCACTAGAATAAATTCCAATAATAAATACATCATCCATTATCGTTAAGTAAATTTAATTCATTCAATTTTATTTTTGAGTCAACAATATTATGTGTCTCGATAAAATTCATAACTACTTTTGATTTATATTTTAATAAATAAATAAATTATAATAAATATTTATTATATATATATTAATAAAAAAAATATTTATTTACTTGACTCTCGATTTACTCGTATCACAAATCTATATAAAAAGAAAAGAGTGTCTAGGATGTGACATCGATGATTCATCGATCAACGTATAATTATAATTAATGATGTCGAAGAATAATACTTGTTCGTCGAATTATTTCTTAACTACTGTCTTGGAGCTAACTCTGGATTGTTAGAGCCCTCCCTCATCGTCTAGTGTGTTTGGTTGATCTAAAATGTCCACAGTGAGACTACCTATACTGAACTAAAAGAGCTAACTCCAGTGGTTGAATTGTTAAGAGTCCTCCTCATCATCTATTGTCTTTAGTTGATCTAAAATGTCCACAACAAGACAACCTACGATGAACTAAAGAGCTACCATTTCACTGTTCTTCTTGGAGCAACAACCTTTGACTCGTGTTGCGAACAATTACAATCATCCGATTGGTACCTTGTGATATCAAATCATTATAACGAATCTGACTTTATGCTTCAATCGAACAATGGAGTTTGTATTCTGACTGTGTACTTTTCTTCTCGATGCTAGTTGTTGAAAATAAGAATTATTAGACTTTTAAAACATGCCCTCGAACACTGTATTGTTGCTGAAATGATTATCAAGGTCTACGAGGAAAATATTAGATTATTTAATCCTTTATAATTGGATAAGATACATAATAAAATTAATTAGATTTTGATGATAGATCAATATAAAAGAAGTCTATATTATAATATAATTTCTTAAGAATATCCTTCGTAGGAAGAACTCTCCTAATAACTTGTCTTTGACTATATGCTCTTATTTATTTATAGACAAAACTTCTAAAAACTGAATGAGATATGTTATACATTTCATAAACGATGCAGGTTTGGGATTATAGTTTCTCTTACAATCTTTATAGTTTTCCTTGCAGATTGATAATTGTTTTAGATCTAAAGTTAGTGTCTTTGCATATCATAGATCATTTTCAGATAGCATCAAAAGGTATGCATCGTAAAATCAGATCTAATGTTATTTGATTTCAATCATAACATAAAAGATTATTTCTACATTATATATAATATATAATAGTTTTTATGCTTACAGAAAAAAAAAAAAAAAAAAAAAAGCTTCATACAATTTGATGAATTGTGTAAGGAGTGTTTTTTTTTTTTTTTTTGTCCAATTGAACTTTTTCACCATGGTAAATTTTATCTGTTTTGTTTTTTTGGGAAGGGGACATGCTAACTAGTTGGCATATTTTAATCGAACCTCCAAGTCCTCTTATATTTGGAGTTCTTGAACGATGCAGCTTGATCTATTTTTGTGCCACGAGAGTATGACTTAGCTTGTATTAGATTTCTTGGGTAATGTTGTGTCATAAAAAAATAGAGATATATATGTCTACTAATTTTGCCAATAGTACAACTCTATTTTTTTTTTGAGTTTATGGTTGACTTTGCTATCATGTATTTGCAAAGGACATCCATTTTTATTTGAACACAATAGTTTTATGTGTATAAAATGACTAGCAAACATAGAGCATTTATCACAATAACTTTTGTAATTCCAGGATTCCTTTCTACTACATAAGCTGCAGCTGCCTGTAACAAATACAATCATCTCCAAAACATGCAACTGGATTCTGGAATCATCACAAACTTTGCTTTATTCCCACCCTTGCCTCAAAGAAACCTTATTCTTTGGTCCACAGTCTATAATGCTTCTGCTTTGGATATTGCAGTTATACAGCAATACTTTGTTCAAGTTTCAAGTAAACCTTGCTACATCTTCAATATAAACATGCTTCAATTAGTGAATGTAAAACATTTCAATTAGACTGGCATTTTTGCTACTCCACATATTAATGTCTTATGTCAATCAAGGACATCAAACTTTGTTCTATAATGCTGCATGCCTAAAATAAGCCTTATTATCTGGTCTACAGTCTATAATGTTTTTGCTTTGGATATTGCAGTTACACAGCAATACTTTGTTCGAGTTTCAAGTAAACCTTGCTACATCTTCAATATAAACATGCTCTAATTAGTGAATATATAACATTTCAATCAGACTGGCATTTTTGCTACTCCACATATTAATCTCTTATGTCAATCATGGACATCAAACATTGTCCTATAATGCTACATGCCTAAAAGAAGCCTTATTATCTGGTCTACAGTCTATAATGTTTTTGCTTTGGATATTGCAGTTACACAGCAATAACTTTGTTCAAGTTTCAAGTAAACCTTGCTACATCTTCAATATAAACATGCTCTAATTAGTGAATATATAACATTTCAATCAGACTGGCATTTTTGCTACTCCACATATTAATCTCTTATGTCAATCATGGACATCAAAACAGAAAAAAATGTACATCCAACCAACTTATGACCTGTCAAGTGCCTCAATCAATAGCTAGTGACATGGCTAGGCTGGCTGTGTGGTAGTGGTGTTATGATTCTAACAATGACAAGCATCAGATCTAAAGATTCAAGAATCAGTTTTAGAAATCTAAAATGTCAAGATTATGATAGTCATTAATGATTAGCAATCTGAGAAATAATCCATCAAGCTCTCCAGGAGTTAAAAAGGTTAATTTGCAGAATCTCACAAGCTACTGCATCAATGCCATCCAATGGAACAATACGACAGCTTTCAAAACAAAGTTCATGGTATCTGTAAAAGAAAATATTCTCGCTATTCACAATGTTGACGATCCTGATAATTTGATTTATGCAGTTCTGAGTTAAAAGCAATAGTTGCGAACACAGGTCACATAGATGCATTCTATCTCAATACTACTCAAGTTTATGCAATACATATTTTTAACACAGTGTTGGTCACATATCTGCTGATTTCTGAATAAGCAAACAATTATCCTCTTTTTAGGACAGTAAATACGTTTTAAAACAAGAGTAGGCGGAAATGAAAAAACAAGTCCGTGGCACAAATAATAAACAATCATCACAATTTTCATGGAAAGGCCATTTTCTGCACGTCATTTACGTATCGTGATGGATTTCCAAGTGCTCATCAAGAGATGAGAATAGTCCTAACTTACCTGTTGATGGAGTAAAGGGAACTTCACAATCACTATGGCCATTCTCGTCATCTATGTCTGATTTTGGCATAGGAGAAGAAAAATCTAGGCACATCCCATGTAAAGCAGCTTGCTCATATGATGCTGATAGATCCTGAGATGTTAGGTGATGATACTCTACAAGCTGGTGAAGGCATTGATTCTCTCTCATTAGATTAGCATTCTCATTTGCCAATCTGGACTTTTCGGCCAACAGAACCTCCAGTTGAAGTCTCACCTACAAGATAATGAATATATTACACAATGAACCAAACTAATAACAAACCAGTCAGCTCTAAAACTTTCTAAAGACACAGAAAATAGAGAGATATTCCACAAGGAAACCAAGAATGTAAATCCACCAACAACAGTTTGTGACAAATGTTAGGAATAGTTTGTCTGAGTACAGAAGCCATTAAAAGCATGCTTGCTTTGAGCTAATACGGGTGCAGAAATGGAAACCTGAACATCAGCAGAGGACAATTGGTGCCCTTTACCTCCTAGGAACTCAGAAGTTTGCAACTTGGGTACTACAGTTCCAAAAAACAGAGACGACTAGGTTGGGAACTACAGTTCCAAAAGCAGATAAAGCAATTGTTAAACGAAAACAAGATGACTTAAGTTGGTCCATCAATATTTAAGCCAATTAGATATTAACTCATATGATGCATACTATGCCATTGTCTGGATCCATTCGGACGTAAAACAGAGATGACTAAGTTAATCAACAACGAAACTCGAGCCACCTGAATCAACCTATGTTTGCTTCATTATCTTACTCACATCATAGCTGTCAGTGAAATTCCTAATAACTGTCAAAATTTGAACCTTAAATACTCGAATACATTGAAACCGTAACTGGGAGCAGACATTATCAAAATAAGTATGTCCACTTAAGTAATAGGATCTAGAGACACATGCTAAGATTTGATGTAACAAAAGAAATATAAGATTAGCAAATATTGGTGTTTTAAACAATGCTCATGTATATATTCTTCATCCTACAATTCAGATCTCATATTGTACATATCATTTTGTTCGTTAGCAAATCGAGCTCACACTTAAAAAGGGATGGTCAACATTAATACAACCGACATAATCTATTTTAGAACTAGCAACTTATGGTATCCATCAGCCAGAATGTATTTTCTTCATAAACCAGTAATAAAGAAAAATGTGTCATGGACTACTGGGAAGAATGATTTAAAGTTAACCATTGCCGGTCCTTGTCAGCAGCAGAAGTAAAATTAGACTATGTGCATTAGATATAGGAGTCATTCCATGAAAAACATTATTTATTCAGAACTGATGTATGAGCAAGAGAAGAAAAGTGGAGTACCAGGTCATCTTCCTCTGGTCTTACACCTTTGTCAAAATCTTCTTGAAACCTCGTATTCTCCTCCTCAAGCAGGTTACATCTCTCCTGCATGAAAGATAACTCCGACTTTATGGTTTTAAGTTCTCTTGAGAGGTATGATGCCTTAGTGGCCATCATAACTGCAAGCTGCAATTTGCAAATTTGAAAGCATATGAAGGTGAGAAAAATTAACAAAACATGCAACCTTTAAGACAAATTGGAGAAAGTATATATTATCTATCGACTGACAGTTTTGGCCTTCTTCATTGTTGCATTTTGCATTGGATATGATGCAATCTCATTATCTCCTTCATTAGAATTTGCCAACTTATTGTTGTCTGCAGAACTTTTGAGAGCAGCTGCCTCATGCTTATTAGAGGAATTAGCTTCGTACTTGGTCTGCTCAGTGGAATCACAATGTCTCTTGGCTTTTGGTTCTTCACTTTCTGTTTTTTGACGTTCTCTCGGTAGTTCTTCTGCTACCGAGGATTTGGTTAGATAAGTTACTCTCTGTCAGACAGAAATATGGGAGCACTCAGAAAAAAGGGATTGCACATTTGACTGTAAGGCTAAACGAGTTAACCAAGCCATAACAAAACATTCAATATCTACGGCTACAATGCTGATGATTTAAAGTAGAAGTGGGATGATTAATGCATCATTGTATCTACGTGACAGACAAAAATGAACAGCACGATACAACCTTGAAGGAACGAAGTCTAAAGCATGTTTATAGTGATAAATGGTGAGTCAAATTCATCCGGGTTGCCTTTCTGTCACGCGCATCGATCACTTGTATCGTGCTATTTCTCCTACAAAAATTCCCACTAACCAATATATGTTCACCTTCTTTTGTAAAGCGTAAACCAAACTCCCTCAATATAAGCAAGGTGTCGAATCACATAAATATCAGAACAAAGTTAATTGGAAATTTGACATCTACGTAATTCTTTGACCCATTCTAGGTAGAAACCCTCAATAAGTACTCAGCCTTGTACCTGCTGCGTGCTGCTTAGAGTGCTGGAAAGCTGGGACAAAGACGAAGAGACCGAATCGAATCCTTTTATCAGAAGCTCAGAGTCTTCCCTTAACCTCTTCCCACACTCCGATTCCACCCTACACTGAAAAGAATCTCATAAAAGATTATTTTTTCCTCTCTCTTAGCTCAAGAAAATGGATCAGAAGCAAAAGAACAGAGGATCGAAAAGGTCGAATTCCATACGGAAGAGGAAGGTGGGAGGTCGATCTTGGGCCCACAATTATCGAGAATGGAGTCGACGCGGTCGCGGAGTCTGCTCCAGAGCCGCTCGTCGGAGGAAGGGCTGATGGCAGGAGCCGCAGAAACCTCCATGGGTGCGAGGAAGAAGCGATGGAGATCGAGATCGAGGAGTCGCAACGGCTAGTAAGGATGGAGAGTGGAGAGCGAGGGATATTAAATAGGGCTTGGAGTTGGACCGTTGGGGCCGGGAGCTGTTGCCTACAGTTTTCTTAACGTTGGGATCTTCTTCGAACTCGCTTCAAGATTCGCGTAACGATCTAACGGCAGCAGAGGTCGTTGGCGATAGCGACGACAAGCTTCGGAGGCCCCACTCTTTGGTCGGCTTATAGCAGACAGGAATTCAAAATTGGAAACAGGAAACACCGGAGAGAACGGAGTGGATTTTGCTTCAAGATTCGGGCCTTCATCAGCCCATTACCTGCCCTACTTGGTCGCCTTCAGCCCAGTGGCGAGATCAGATCGGAGTCTCAACGACATCAAGATGCGCACCATATGCGTGATCGACTGGGCTCGGCCGTCTCCCTTCGATCATCTCTACGCAAGAAGAAAGAAATCCCTCTTGTGGTCAATACGGTCAAACGAACCAAAGTAGAGTCGGATGGTTCGGTTCTCTTGCTTTTGGCTCTAGTCAACTCAAGCCAAACCGAACCAAACCGGAGGCCAAATCGGTTCGGTCGAACCTTTTCGAGGTTCATCTTAACCCGATCGACTCGATGAAATAATCATCGTTAAAGGACGTTGAAAAGGAGCGGACTGGATCTTAGTTTACTTGCGACGAAAGCAAGGACCCGGTGACCTACCCCCAAGCTCAGTTTCTCGTCCTCTTCGCCTCGTTGTGAGATTCTCACGACCTCTTGTCCCCCAAATCCCACTTCCGTTCCCCCATCTCTCTGTCTCGCTGATCTGTTGTCCTTTCTTGTCTCTTCTGATTTTCGCGAAATCTTAAGGGATTTCAAGGAGGAAAGATGACTGCCGATGTGGAGATGAAAGAGGTCCAGGCGTTTTCCAATTCCGTCTCCTCCGCCGGCGTTCCTTCCACTCTTCAACGTGCGAATGCTAAAAGAGAAGATTTTTGTTCGAATTGCATGCAGTTAATTCGAATGTTTTGATTTATTGATACAAAAGAATGTAATTGGTGATGTGGATTGGGTTCAGATATGAAGGAGATCGCGTCCCTGATCGAGTCTGGTGCGCAGGCCAAGGAAGTGCGCCGGATCGTGCGTGCGGTGCGCCTCACTATGATGCTCCGTCGGAAGCTCAGGGCCCCCCTGGTAGCCGCGTTCCTTGGCTACGTTCTAACCCCGGCCTCGGAGGTCTTTGCTAAGCTCTCGTCCTATCTTCCCAAGGTACTCTTCTTATTTCCCCCCTCTTTGTTCCACAACTTTTTAGCGTAATTTTTTCCTTGTGTGGCTAGAAATTATGCTGGTCGGTATGTCTCAAGGTTGTTCAAGTAATAGGAAAATTTTGTGCCTATAAGATGTTAGTCGTATCTTTGCTCGATGTAGCTTCAGTGTGTTCTTGTGGCCAGGCATTGGTCATGGAGATCCTTCTTAGCTGTTAGTAACAATTTTAAGGTTGTAAGATCACAAAGATTATTTCTGGCTTGTATGATAGCCTGGACGCAAAAATGACTAAAAAGTTCAAGTCATGAACATTTGAAAGCATCATCATGCTAGATTGTGTGATATACAGCGTTCTGGGAAACTTAATTCTTCAGGATGTTGAATGCTCAGCTGTTTTTGGCCTTCTTACGGTAATGGTGGATGATAGAATCATAGATCAGCAGTAGAAGCAAGATGTTTTTTGGTCCAAATTTAGGGTCTAGATTTGATTTATGATCTAGTTCATGGCCGAGGGTTGATGCTGGACATGATATTAAAATCTTTACCTGAGCGAAAAAGAGAGGTAAAAAGAGAAATTTTTTGTTTCCATGACAAACAATTATAGCAAAAGCAATGCTCATTTTTAACCCTAAAACTCCTTTCTATCATCAGAACATGTCAACTATTGACATGTTAACCTTCAGCTAGATGATTTTATGGGAAGCATGACTAAATGTCTTGTCAACTAGGTTCAAAAAGGGTGGAATGGAGGTTGCGGTGCTTGTTGACCAATTTTTTCCATCTCTCAGGCTGTCTAAGTCTTAAGTGTGACCTACAATTTTTTCAGTTAGAGAAAGAAATCAATATGGAAATTTTTGATATCTTTCAATTCTGAAATTTAGTTGTCCACACCTAGGTTAATTGTCTGCTCTATGTGTAGGGCACCTTGATGCTGGCTGCTACTTGTATGTTGGCATGGCTATCGTTTACAGGATGATATTAGTATTAAATTTCCAATTGGTTGACCATAGAAGCCAACATCAGATGTCTTTGTTCTCTATCAGCCGGTTGAGTATGGAAAAAGATGGTCAAATGGGTTGTATAACTAAGGTTTAGTCATTTCATTGATTTCAGAATGACTTATCTTATAAAGTTCCAGTGTTCTTAGAAAGATTCATGAAAAAGGTCTGCAGAAAGGTTTAGCTTATTACAGTATGGAAATCTTGTGTCCTTGGTGATCATTGGAGAAAACATTTGAAGAAAGGTCCAAATATGATGTCAACTGATTTGGTTATATTCGATGAATTTTGATCAATTTTAATCGATATTTGGCCAACTATGGTCATTGATCCAGGATGTCCCTATGTCAAGAACCCATATTATATTGACTTTTGGCAGTTCTTATACTGGTTCACTTCAACAAACCATGATACAAAATTTAGACATCCTTATTTTTTAAGTAATTTTAATCACAAAAATGAACTTTTAGATTCTATTGTATTGGCCTGAAAGGTGCCAATTTGTGTTCTTTCTTCTACTCCTGAACTTGAAAACAACGTACATATTTCTTGGCTTGTAGAAGGCCAATACCTATGTACCAACACTTTCAAGCCAATCTCGATTTTTTGAAGTCTACTTTTGTCCTTAGTTATGCTATGTAAGAACCAAATAAAATGTACTTTTAGATTCTATTGTATATGCCTGGAAGGTGCCAGTTTGTGTTCTGTCTTCTACTCCTGAACTTGAAAACAACGTACATTTTTCTTGGCTTGTAGAAGGCTGATACCTATGTGCCAACACTTTCAACCCAATCTCGTTTTTTTGAAGTCTACTTTTGTCCTTAGTTATGCTATGTAAGAACCAAACATTAATTATTCATGTTTCCTGTTAAATTGTTTTTGTTATTCAAAAATTTCTTGACCTTTTTTTTCCAAGACCATTCTCTCTTTTTCTTTTCTCTATAAGATATCCGTTATTGAACTCATGCCTTGCCTTTTTCAGAACATTTTACCCCATGTTAGTAACAAAGTATAGATTTGAACAAAGGGCTTTTTGATTTGAGATACAACAATGTGCATGATTCTGGGAGAAATTACAGCAGTCTGAGGGAAAAATAAAGTTGCCGCTTTTTTTGAAAATTCACATATTTGTGTTGTTTTGAACATTTCTTGAACTTCATTTTTAGTTCCGAAACAAGTTTGAGATCAGATAAATGACCTATTAAATTTTGCGTAGTCACGTTGTCAGGTAATTGGTTCATCCTGATTCTTTGTTGGCATAATTTGATCGATGTTATTCTTTACTTTGTCAAGTTTCCCAGTTAAGGTTGTGTATTAAATGAGCAAGGAATGTCATTTTGCTCGAACCGGTACATACATATCAGTACCTACCAGTTTGAGCATGAACTGGCATGCTGACCTCCCAATTTCTGACAGTCCACGTGCGAGACGGGGTTTACTGGGAACTGGCACATGGATCACCCAATTTCGGATGGTCCACATGCATAGCAGGGCTTGATAAATGTGCTTTATAGAGGTCTACCTGTGTAATTTTGTGGGAGTTTTATTTCCATTTATAGAGGTCTTGTTAGAAGATAGATGTGCTTTATGATGCATGGAGTTTATTTGTGATGCATCAAACTGAGGTCGGTGACCACTTCATATTTCTGCATCTGGAAAGTTTTACTAATTTAGGCTTGTCTTTTTTCCCATTTAAAGGATGATGACCATGACATGGATGTGGATACAGCAGCATCAGCAGTCCAAGGTCCAGCCAAGCACTCTATACCAGAACTTGAAATTTACTGTTACTTGCTTGTTCTCATATTTCTTATTGACCAAAAGAGATACAATGAGGTGATTTTATTACATTGTAATTCTCTTCATTTTGTTGCTGAAATTGAAATGCTAAATTTTCTGATTATTTTATACCTATTGTGTACCAGGCTAAAGCATGTTCTTCTGCTAGCATTGCTCGCTTAAGGAACATGAACCGAAGAACTGTGGATGTTATAGCTGCTCGCCTGTATTTCTACTACTCATTCACTTATGAACTCACAAATAGTCTAGCTGAAATTCGTGGGTGCGTACAATGAACTTTTATGTCCTCATGAAATAGTACTTGTCTAGTGGAATACTGTAGGACTACAGGATAGCTAAGAAATCAGAATTTTTATCTACTGCTGATGTTTCCATAACATTGTTCTTCCCATCAGGACCCTTCTTGCTTTGCATAGGATGGCAACTTTAAGGCATGATGAGTTGGGTCAGGTTTGTTGCTTGTAAAACATGAAGGTTGTGAACTATTATGAAGTTCATATTGGCTAACCATAATGGGTGATTGCAGGAAACCCTTCTGAATCTTCTACTTCGCAATTATCTTCACTACAACTTGTACGACCAGGCTGAGAAGCTGAGGTCAAAAGCACCACGTTTTGAGGCACACTCAAATCAACAGGCAAAAACCTCTTAGAACTTAATGTTTTCAACTTTTGCATGAAAAAATGTCATGAATGAAATTGTTTTTCTTCTTGGCTTTATACTTTTTGCCTTAGATGACATTCATATGATGTTTATGTATTTATATCACGACACTGATCATTGTAAGAGCATAATGTTAATGTTTTCTGTGTTTCTCTCCTGCAGTTCTGTCGTTATCTACTCTACCTTGGAAAAATTAGAACCATTCAGTTGGAATATACAGATGCCAAAGAGAGCCTCCTGCAAGCTGCTCGGAAAGCACCAGTTGCTGCACGTGGGTTTCGGATCCAGTGCAACAAGTGGGCTGTCATTGTCCGTCTACTTCTTGGAGAGATCCCCGAAAGAACTGTTTTCATGCAGAAAGGCATGAAGAAAGCTTTGACACCATATTTTGAGCTTACTAATGTGAGTATTTGCTGACTGAGAAACAATACTTGATTGCAACCTTAGTTACTGGGAGTTCTATTTTTGTGGTTTTAGGCTGTGCGGATTGGAGATTTGGAGCTATTTAGAACTGTTGCAGATAAATATTCAGGAACTTTCAGTTCAGACAGGACCCGCAATTTAATTGTCAGACTACGCCACAATGTGATAAGGACTGGACTCCGCAATATTAGCATTTCATACTCTCGTATTTCCCTTGCTGATGTAGCTAGAAAACTGAGATTGGACTCTGAGAATCCTGTGGCTGATGCAGAAAGCATAGTGGCCAAAGCCATCAGAGATGGTGCAATAGATGCAACTATTGATCATGCCAATGGATGGATGGTCTCTAAGGAGACTGGGGATGTCTACTCGACTAATGAACCTCAGATTGCATTCAATTCCAGGATCGCCTTCTGCCTAAACATGCACAATGAGGCCGTGAGAGCACTGAGGTTCCCACCAAACTCCAATAAGGAGAAAGAAAGTGAAGAGAAGAGACGGGAGAGGCAACAGCAAGAGCAAGAGCTTGCTAAGCATATAGCAGAGGAAGATGACGACTTCTAATCGAGTCCCAAGAAAAGGTAATTCAAGTGCTTTAGGTGCATCTCTTGTACTGGAATTTGCATTGCTTTATGAGATGGTGAAAAGGAATCAAGTTACACTTTGTTCTTTGCAAAATGCTTTTGTCCTTGCTTCTTTCAGACCCCAAGCTTGCTTTTGGCATGTGATGGTCGACTTCAGATTTCTTTAAAACGCTGAATTAATGATCTCATTTTCTTTATTAAAGATGTGTGGCTTCCTTTGACTGAGATAATTTGTTCTTTTAGTTTGCTTTGATCAATGGCATTTTAACTTGTTTGGCATGCTGTTTAAGGAGTTTTCTGAATGGCTTTTCTACAAGCATACTTGCACTTGGTGCCACCATTAGATACGCCGCTGTTTTAAGGATAAAACTTAAAATACTAGTTTGAGTTGTGAATGTTGGTATTTGGTTTAGAAAAATAAGTATTATTGATCAGGAAATCATAATATTTTCTTATAGTTACTTTCCTCTCTTTGTTAATTGAATTTCCTGTTTGTGGTACTTATCTTTCCTGTTGTTTCTTTCCCCCTCTTTTAACTCATCTGCTTTTGAGTGTTTGATGAATTTACACAGCATCAGAATCCTTAATGCGCTGGCATGCTGAAACATGCCACCTTGCTCCCTTCAGGTTCTTGCAGCTGTTTAACTTGTTTCTCTCTCCAATGGATCAGCATCCGAATTAAGGTTGTCTACGACATCTATTTTGTATTGAACGTTGAACTCAGTTGGTTAACACTGGTTTCTGGTCATTTTCATTAAGTCATAAGGATCCGACCATACATTTATTGTTAGTGTGTTTCGTTTGTGAGTTTTATATGGGATATGCAGTCCCTCATCATGGTACATTGTGAATTAATCTTCCTTGATGAAATTAGATTAAATTAATTTTATTTCAATTTTGCTACATTATTTACAGAACCCTCTAACATCTAAATTCTGATAAACTACGCATTTTTATTATTTTTCAATATTTTTAGTGCATTTTTTTATGACTGAAAATTTCGATCGAACTGAAATATATTATATAAATGTTAACTTATTATTATTCCAGAAATGGTAAATAAAAAAAATTAAACATTGAGAAGGATGATTTGTTTTAGAAAATATTCATTTTTCTCAATCGATACATTTCATTTTACTATTTTTTTAAACAGTACCTCTAATTAAGAAATATTTAAATTATCTCTCAATTTTTTTGTCAGTTATAATGTTTTGATCACTACAATAAAAAAACTGTAAAATCTACTTGAAAATATTATAAATGATCTAAATAGATTGTTAATCTTATTCAAACATTGATTTAAATAGACTTTTTATGTCAATCAAATCAATTATAAATTTTAAAATTAATATTATAATGATCTATGGGCGATAATAATAAAAAATTATAATATGATATCATTTATAATTTTTTAATAATATTTATAGTATTTTTAGCATATCGATAAAACACTATAAATGTAATTGAATAACACTCTAAATGAGCTCTATGAAAATACTATAATGGTTGAAAATTGATTTTAAAAAAATAAGAAAAAATTTTGACAAAAAAAATTTTAGGGGTATTTTAGATTTTTTTTAATTTAAAGTATTGTTTGGAAAAATAAAATAAAAGGTGGCATCGTTTGATAAATACCTAAAATATGAATATTTTCTAAGAAAATCTCTGAAGGAAAGAAAAAAAGAATAACAACTTACTTTACTCAATTTGATATATTTATAGTAGTCAATTAAAAATAAATATTAGTAAAAAATGAGAATGGAAAATTGATTTTGTGGTCCTCGTTGATGTACGATGTTAGAGAGAGAAAGAGGAGCGGGAAAGATAGCATTCGCGCTCGCTCTTCGGTGTGTGTTTGGAACGAAGATAACTACGAATTATCGAGCGCCTGCCCCCAATTCGAATCCCTTCTCGCCCCCATCCGATCGCCGAAGCTCCCCGACTCGCAGCCCTATCCCTAACCCGTCCCCTCCCTCCTCTCCCTTCATGGCCGCTGTCTCCCCCGCCGCCGATCCCTCGACCTGCCGTTCACTGCGCTCCGAATGGGCCGCTCGCCACCCTTGGGCTAACCACGTCGTCCTCAACGACCTTAAGGGTTCTGCCGCCGCGACCCCACCTCTACGCTGCCGCTGGCCACTTTGATCCCCTTTCCGGAGCCATCCGATCGGAGGCAGCCTCTGGAGGACGTGGCGCCGTCGTAGTTGGAAGCGGCCGCCCAATGGCTCGATCGAGGTGGGGGCAGCTGTGATGGGAGAGCCGCCGCTTGGCTCGTCCTTTCCGACTCCCTTAAATACCCCCTTCCGATGCTCTGAAACCCCTTTCCGATGGAACGCCATCCTCTTCGGATTTCCCAGGTTTTGGTCAAGAATTCGACGAGTTTTAGATGGAAGTGATTTAAACCTATGTAAGTGACTCTAATTTATGATTCTATTTTGTACTTGGGGGCTAACGATTTCGTTTTCTTCACCAAAGCCAAACTCGAATCCATCTTCAACCGTAATTAATGTGGTATCTTCACGCCAGACGTCGTTGGAACGTGGCGGCGTGGATAGTAACAATGGTGCACCTCCCGATGGGAGAGTGGCGTCGCCCTCACCACCACAGACGCCGTAACTTATGCCTCTGGCGAACTCGAGAAAGCTGGCAGCCACGGAGCTCTCGGTTCGAGACCAAACTACCAAGAACGCGACCAATTGGGACCATGGTTCCGGGTTGGGATCAACACAACAACTACGGTAACAGGGTGCCCGGCCCTACCTTGGACCGCCTGCACCATCTGTCATTCCTCGGTCCTCCGCAGGTGCAGCCTTATGAGAATGCAATGGCCTTCCTGGTTTGGTTCATTCGATGATGACAATGTTCTTAATCTACCTTCAGATATGCCTTATCCTATCTTTTATGTTGCCACTCAGCCAGCCACCTTCTGGGGTCTGCCCTTTGTTGCTCATCCGGCAGTGCCCCTTGCAATGGTTATTTCAGCTGTTGAACCGCAACGTGCTAATCTATTGAAGCAGATAGATTACTATTTCAGGTGAATATTTGGTTCACAACTTGTAATGATCATATTTAAGGGATCTGTGCCTATATTTTATGTTCTGGTTTAATATTGGCATATTTTTCTGGTGATGAAGATAAAATTGTTGCTATACTCCTCCATTCTGACCTCTGGCCTGTTAGTATCTTAAGAACCTTTATGTCTGACCAGATTACCATTTGGTTGTCACCTGAATCTGGCCCTTGGAATTTTCTTTTACTGATTCTGGTAATCACTCGAATCGAGTACTGATTAATACTCATTTGAACTTGAGATCAAGCATATTTCTGCTAGTGTTTTTCAAACATATTTAGTTGATTCTTGTTCATGATTTTTTTCATTAGATATCATATAATGAGCCATTAGTTATTGAATTTTCTTTTCATGGAATCTTTTATGGATTTAGGGTACTTTTTTTATATTTGTAACTTTATATAGGTATCTATAATGTTTATGATTTGAAAGGCATATACCATGGTTGTGTAACTATGAAATATATTCGATAAGGGTTCATGATCTCTAACCTGTGACTTGTCTTTTGCGTCAGACTTTTCTTTTTCCTCCTCGTTGATGGTTTCTACAGGTCCAAGATTTAATTTGCTGATGTGATATACAGGTTATATATGCTGCGCAGAGTTCTAATTGGTACAAAGTTATTGGCCAATGCATGTATTGAATTGATTTACATTGTTTCTGTTGATCTAATGCATTTTGATCTAAAAGTCATCGATACTGAATCATCTGATATTATCATGAACTTCCAGTCTTAGTTTGCTTGTCTAAACTTGTTTCTATTGGCTTATTGTTTTTTGAATCTTCTTTCAATTCATTGCCCAAATATGTTGTTGCAGTATCGACAAACTGCTCTTGCAATATTGTTCAGATCAGACAAACAACAAGCAGCAAAAAATTCATGTTGGATATGTTGCAGTTGTCATCTGTAGTCGAAGTACAGGTACCTTCTTTGTACCTTTTCTATGTTAATGCTTGTGAGCTACCGCTTTATAGAAGTTCACTTGTCACAAATGGAATAACCGACAACGTTTTTCATCTTTGTTTAAAATCAGTGTTATGTTTGCCTCAGGTTGAATCAAAAAAAGAAAAAGGAAACTATAAAAGAGCGGATTTGAAGAGATGTTGATGCGAGATTTCTGGTGGTGATGACCTTTTTCAGTCAATAGAACATTTAAAAGCTGATCCTTTAAAAGGCTTCTTTCAGGTATGTCCACAATATTCAACAGTATATCCACAGATGCATTATTTATTAAGCACGGAAATAAGTCATTCAATAGAACATTACAAAGCTGATCCTCTAGAAAACTCTTTCAGGTATATCCATAGATGCATTATTTATTAAGCACGGAAATAAGCCGTTTAGAACATCCTGGGAACAAGTAGAAGAGGCAAACAAAACACTTTATATAGGAAGATCTATACAAGAACCCAGCCTTTATCCAAGCAAAACATGGTGTATATATATATATATATATAGGAAGAACTACCTATACAAAGAAGCCAGATGCCTCTTTAATGCACTTGTAGCCAACTTGTTCTTTGCTCATAATCCTACCTCACCTACAGATTATGAACGACCAAAAGGCATATACATATGATAGGCAGAAATATAGGGGAAAACCTCAGCGAAGCTTATTCTGGGCTACTGCCTGACACAGCTCGTCCTCGTAGAACAGAACTCGAGTGGAAGCTACGGGCTTGAAGATTGGCCTCGGCAGACCCGGTGGCATGATTCGCCCCGGACGGAGTGTCGACTCCTGGAACAGGACAGCTGCGATCTGCCTCATGTCCATCAGGTGCAGGCGAGGACGAGGGCCGTGTCTTGGAGCTTTCGGTGTGTGCGGGGTTGGCCTCTTTCCATTTGCCTTGCTGGAAATCCACAAGGATGTAGTAAGCCGAGAAGAAGAGGACGAATGAAATGAGTAGGAATATGTCCATCGAGTCATGTACCTCACAAAAGGCCAATGTTCGGTCGGCACCGGAGTCTTGGTGTTGAGCATCTCTTGCCTGGACCGGTCTGGGGTCGTGTAATTGAAATGCAATTGCCTGGCCAGTAGTACCTAGCCCAAGATTCAATTTTGAGTAATCGTTGAATCAGATGCAAGGCACCAGCCATCTCAATCGAAAAAAGATATGGTAAAATCTATGCAGCTTCCAATCACATCAATTTTTTATCCATGTCATAGCCGCCATGATTTAGAGTTGGATTTTTCATAAATACTAATCATCTATCGGTTGATCAGTGGTGCTGCAGCCAACGGATGCAGTTGGAAGGGGAGAACTTACAGCTGTTCGAATTCTCTGGGAAACATGGAAAACAGCTCGTAGCTGATCATGATGCAGGTGGCAGAGGATTTTGACCTTCCAACGAGAATAATCATGTTAGTATATTCCAGTACAGTAAAATACAACTACTGAGAAGAAACAATTACATACCAGAATATCCATAGGAAGAGATTCGAGTCTTGATTGACTATCACAATCTACACTCTGTGGTGTTTTAGGTGTCAGAGGAAGCTTCTGCTGCTTAGCATCATCCATTGCGAGATGAGAGCTGACCCTAATGGGAGACACGATCGGTGAATCGCTCTGAATGACCTCATCCCGATTAAGCAGATCAATCTTCGCCTTCTCTGACTGCAACACGATCCTTTTCTTCCCAATATCCGTGCACGATTTGCTTGAGCTCCTGCTATATCGGATCTGAGCAAGCGCACCAGGTTTTAGGTACTTGTTCTTTGTGTTCTTCACTCGCTTCTTTTGTTTGAAAGCCATAGATTCAACACTCATAGAATACACAAATAAATCAGAAATCCTTATGCTTCTTCAGTATCCCTTCAACCATTCTAAACTTCCAGCTACAATTTAACTCAGCCAAAAATACATAATTTCATGTCAGATGGGTCACTCGATAATTCCACAAAAAAAAAAATATGGTACTTTATCGAACAGAGAACTAAGATACAGGTAGGTTTAGCCTGATGCAACAAAGCATGATACATGAGGAACTACTGTAACACAGAAACATAAGAAAGTGAAGGCCACATTTCTACTCTTGATAATACTAAATTCTCGATACACAAGATAAGTATCTGCAATGAAAAATTGGTAAATTCATATGCATCCATAAAGGCAATGTTTTTGTCAAGGTTTTTAAGAGCCATTTGCAGTCTGATTCTTACCATTTTTTATAGAATAAAAGAAAAGAGAAAGAAAGATGGATAAAGCATCAGTGTTTCTAATGTAGATTAAAACGTACAGATATAGAAAATGGTCATGAATGAGCCATGAAGAGATCTAAAATACTCAATGTAAAAGCACAAAATACACCAAGAAAGCTGTTAATATGGATAAAGTTGAGCAACCCTATCAAGGAAGCAAATCTGCAACAATTAATAAAATCAAATAAACTACAATAAACTCTGAAATTTGTTGAATCTGGTGATTCATGTCTCTCTTTGAAACGACACCAAATCTAGAATGGTTAGAGAAACAGCTACATAACTCACTGATATTGGTTTCATCTTCACACAAACCAATTGGAAACATAAAAACCGATCATAGCTATCGAGGCAACTGAAAACAAAAAACCAGTCACTAAGAATAAAACTCACTGCATACATACCACGATCGATGGCTACCTTGTTTGTCCCTCAATACTACATTCTGTGAGCAAACTAAAAGCGGCCAATCTTTACTCTTCCCTTGTACAAATCTCTCATTTCATTGTCATACAATTCGCCAATGTTGCAAAAATGCAAACAATAACCATTTCCCGATCGACTCCCAGACTCTTTAATGCTCCCCTTTCTTTCACTACACTTGGAACAAACCCCATCGATCCCCATCCCAAAGACCACACACTGCGAACAAGCAAGCGCTACTAGCTACCACTGGTTAGCGTAATCAACAGCGTTCATCCATTCCAGTCAAAAAATACCAGTTTGAATCGATGGCATTCCAACTAACAGTCAATCATTTCTCTGATGAATGAAAAATGATGCGGCAATAACAATGGAAGCATGACTTACAAGATAGCTCTACCATCCGCCTCCAGGCCGTCTTCACCTGCAACCCAAGACATCGGTAAAACTCGCACATCACAACATCGGATGATATATATAACAAGGACGGCGAGCGAGGAACCGGCTTACCTCCGCACCGGAAAACAAGCGCCAGAATCCGAATCCTGGAATCCAGATATCCCAAACGAAGCAACAAACCACGAAACGAACCCTAGCCAGCCGCTCGCGTCGGGAGGGAGGATGGGAGAAAGCCATGGGGGGCCGCGGGAACTTTTTATTCTCCTCGTTCGAATTCCCCGCGGATTCGCGCCAAACATTTTCGACTACAGTCGCGACTCGGGAAACGAAGCGGAGCGATAAGGGGCAAAAAGCGGAAACAGAACCCTAACGGACCCTAGCCCCACGGGTGGGTGGACTCCGACGTGGCGATCGATCATTGGTCTGGGTCACGTCATTGAGGGCACGCCGTTAGGGCCCGCGGACGGCGTCTCTCGTCCGCGTCGGACGGCGGAGACCGCGGCTCCTAAACTAATTCTTGTTTTCCTTTTTTTCGCTTGTATTTTGAGAGGGAACAAATTGGGGATTTCGATTTTTCGAAAATCATTCGTGGAGGGAAAATCCCGAATTAGTATTTTTTTTTGGGCCCAAATTTGAGTGATACACTGAGATTTTTTCTTACGATGGGCGGCTGTGATGGAGCCGAGGGGCCGAACGGTTGCCGCGAAGCCTCGGATGCTCCTGCTTTGGTGGGTAGACAAGACAGCGATGGAATCCGATGTCACTTCTTCAGGTGTGTGTATATATATATATATATATATTATAGGATAATAAAATAGACTAATTTACCATGAGAACGAACAAATGAAACTGAAGTGAATATTAATTAATTCAATGATTATAAATTCGTTACCTGATGATTTTACAAAAAATACAAATTACACATAAATCCCTTCAAAAATGAATGATGTTTGTATTTATCCCTCCAAATATAAGTTTAACATTATTTTTTAAAAATAAATTACATAAATAAAATCAATTGCGATTCATGTAACAAATCAGGAAGTGAGTTGTTAACGGAGAACTTTGCTAGTAAAAACATTTGATGACCGGAAAATAAATACCATCCAAAAGTTAAAAGTGTTTTTTTTTTCCGGAAGATATCTCCTGTTTTTAATTTTTTTTTATAAGGTGTTTTTATTTCCTCGTAGCAATCACGCCATTGGCCTTTTATGTCTCTCCTCTTGTGTTATCGTTGCTCGCTCCCCCTTCTATCGTTGTGGTCTTCATTCCCTTCACTCCCTTGTCGAGGACATCCTCGACCAACTTCGACCTCTTTTGTTCTCCTTAACTCGGGCTTTTCTAAACTTGAGTTCATCCGCCTTAATGTCGAACTCTTTATCATATCATAGATTTATAAATAAATAAATAAACATTATTTTATATTCATAATTTATATATTTTTTATTCTTATATTCAAATATTTATCTTTGTAATAGTAAATATTTTATTAACCAGAAATCATATCTCCTTACTAGAGTCATAAGTGATACAAATGCAAACTAGTAAATTGCTCTCAAGATAAATATAAGATAAATATATATCAATAATCACATATATTCGTAGGAATATTTGAAAAAATTATTTTAAAAAATTTTTAAAATAATATAAAATAATATTATATCGATTCATTATAAAACTCATACATCAAAACAATAATAATAATTTTATATAATAAATAAAATCATGTATAAATTATATATAATACATATAGAATAGTCAGATGATACACTCTCCTAAAAATGGATGGTAAAACATACTCCATGAAATGAATTCCTCTCAATAGCAAATAGAGGTAACCAATATTGCACTCTCAATAACATATAGAGTGGTATTCCTCGTCCATCTAACTGGGGAAATGTTCCTTCGTAGATAGAAGAATCATCATGTCTGACGACCTACTAATCCCGAAGAGAATCGTCCTACTTGCTCTTAATATAGATACATAAAATAACCATGATTGTTCATTTATATCCATCTGTATCTAAGGAATAATGTGATAAAATTCTATGATGAACCATCATTTGATATATAATTTGCTATATTATGTTCATTAGTAGCTTCATACTGTGATGGGCTCGTAACTCCTTTCACATATTATACTTCCAACATTGATTACGAGCATAGTCACATATACTACATTTTAACAATCATATCAATATTATAAACTAAAAAAAAGTAAAAAATCAATAATTATTTTTAAATGATACCTTCAAATAAAATTTTTAAGTTCATCAAATAAAAAAGACTAGGTTGTACCTGACAATATGAGTTGGATCATGCTTGGCCACATAGGTTGGGTTGTATATTGCCACATGAGTTAGGTTGTAATGATCGATCGTATATGATCATAGGGGTTTGGTCGACTCATCCAGTAGATTAACCTATCTCAAGTCAAATCCAAATTAGACTCATATTCTCAAATTAGATTTAAATATTTTAAATTATTAAATAATAATTTAAATTTAAATTTAAATTCATGATCTTAAATTTAAAAGTAATTAAATTATAAAAATTAACACATAATTCTTAAAATATAGATATATACAATTAAATAAATTAGAACTATTAGTTTAATCTAAAAATAAAAATTATAATAATCAAATCAATATTGAAATTCACTTAAACTTAAGATACCATTATAAGATATATAATTATACTAATATCATAAATCAATTATCATTATTTATTAATCATAAAATTTTAAAATTAAAAATATTATTATGTATTATAAAATTATAACAATAATAATATCAAGTATTTTATAATATGAATTAAAACTAATTAGAAAAGAATAGAGGATCCTAGCTGCATGAGGAATGAGGAAGGAAAGAAAGAGCCTCCTTTTAGAAGAATATGAGCTTTCTTTGAAAGGCAAGAAATAAATTAAATTTTAATTTTAATTAATTAATTAATTATTTTATTTTCACACATAATATAGAAAATAATATTCATTTAGTATAGTTCACATATAAAATAAAATATAAAATATTTACTTCCCAAAAATTATATTACTTAGTGGGAAATAAATTAATTAATAATTTAATTGATTGACAAAATTTCTAACTTGTCCATATGATTAAGAAAATTAATTTTAATCATTTCTTTAACCATAGTACACAAATAAATAATAATAATTTTAAAAAAATAATCTATTATTTACAACGATTAATTTACGTTAAGAGAGAAAATGATTGGTGATTAAACTCTCTCTCTTTATTCCCCTCAACCTTCGTACCCTTGAACTCTTACCATCCCTTTCTCTCCCGATTTTTCGAACTAGTATACCCTCTGTATCAGTTGCCTCCTACACCACCCTTGAGGTCGCCCATAGCACCCTCTACACCACTCATGTGGCCCTGGTGTTACTAATCTTGTGTGTGATATCTATTATGCCTATATTGCCCTACGTGCTCCCTTACTTTTTCCTCTCTTCTATCCCTTTTACCTCCCGTATTACCCGAAAGTCAGGTGAAAGCGTTAATGATTAATTTATGTTAAGAGAGAAAATGATTGGTGATTACACTCTCCCTCTCCATTCCCCCCAACCTTCGTACCCTCTAAAC